CTTCTTTCGTAAAAGATTCAAAACAAACATCAAAGTGTCATTTTTGTCCGCTCGGACTCTTAATCAAGAAAAACCCTTTCATAAGGTAATAAAAAACCAGTCAGACAAGCTTGTGTCTTCCGTAGCCCGAACTATGTTTGCTCTGATCTTTCATGCTGTATGAAAGTACGTAGGCATAGGATGCCGTATCCTAGCGAGCAACCTTCCCCTCCTTTCCCGTAGGTAGGCGAACTACGTTGACTCTGATTTCTCGTTCTAGACGGGAATACGCAGGCATAAAGTGCGATACTTTGCCGAGTCATTTTCTTTTCTTTTTAACCCAGACCTATAGAGTAGATAGAATAACACACCCTTAGATAGAAAACAAGCGTGGATCCCATCGAGTACGACGGACGTGAGGGGTGCTAATACCTTCCCCTTGCGTAACCGACTCTCGAATCCAGGATTTGGTTGCGATGACCATTCCTTTCCCATTTTGCGTTAGGTTTACTCTGAGCGTTTCCTTTCCCTCCGTTGGGATAAATAACGCACGGTGGCGACTCTTCTGTCATAGCCGGCGCCGATTTTCGCAGTAGCGACAATTGGCGACTCTGCTGGGGAAAATAACGGTTCCCTATGCGAGTCGATCCTAGCGCCTGTTTTCCCGTCTGGGGTTTTGTATGTATTTACCTTTCTGCCTTTACTTTCAGTATTATATTTTTGTTGTTGTGCTGGGAAGAGGGTTAGATTGAGAGATAAGCCGGACCTGGGCTTGAGTTTGCACATAGACTTAGAAGTAGATGTCATACCCTAAATTTGTCCTACTTGTAAATTACTCTTCACCTGTATGCTCATCCACCGAAAATTAACCAGAAAAATCAAAAAAATATGTGTTGCTCCTATTCATGCGAGGTTGAGCCCAAGAAGTCAGATCAGTTGTGTGTGAAGGATTGAGGTTCGTTGGTATGGGCATAATTTATTGGTCAGGGTGTGCAAAGTTCGTAGAGCTTTATGTAGAAAGTCGTCATGGTCCTATCCATTTTCAATCCAATTTCTTACAGTGCGTCGAAACTCACATACCATTAAGTCATGTTCCTTTTATCTCAAAGTTTTTGTTAGCCAGAGAATTTCATGTTGAATTTTTTTGGGAGTTATCGTAATTTAAATGACAAGATCAGGCTTCATTTGTCATTTTAAAAGTTCAATTTTTAAGTCTGAGATTGATTCATAATAATTTCTCCTCAGAGACCGAATCAGTGTGTTATGTTACTTTACAAAAAATAAGAGTGTTTGGTTCGCGTTTGACTTGAGTTAGTTCGAGGAGAGAATTTGAGATTATTCTCGAGTGTAAGTAGAAAATTAATGTGGAAATTCATAGTTTTATTACAAGATGCCACATTTAATTTTCAAGGCCCATGTTACTAAGTAGAGTCCATATCATCTAAATTTCACCATAGACTTTGGAATCTTTTCGGTATTCATGGCCCATGTTTAAAAATGCAGGTTTTTATTACACAAAAGTAAAAGATAATTGTTGCAGAGCATGGCCAAGAGGGTAAAACGCATAACCCCTACATTTCCCCCCACCAAGACAGGCCGAAAATGACAAAATCAGAAGATGCCATGCCATAATTTCTCGTATGGAATGGTTACACACAATTTCCATAACAGACCTCACCATCATACTAAGCCCACTTGATTTCAGTAAATAAATGTTACAAGAATTCACTTTTGGTGCACAACATTACAAATTGAAAGGAATGAAAAAGAAAAAAAAAACAAGAGGGAGCAAATTAAAAACAAACAAAGAGTCAGAAACCCTGGTTATATTCGAGGCATAAATTTCCACTACATGAACATGGCAAGTCTCGCGGGAAGCATTGGCTTCAAAATCTCGTTTCATCTTCTACCTGGCGTTTCTTCAATTTCATGGAACATTTGGAAGTTTCGGATTGTTTGCTTGAAGAGTAGAGACTTTAGTTCTTCTTCTGTTACTGCTAGCTACATTCCCATAACATCATGCAGGGTGAAGATTCCGCGTTTGGAATATTGTAGCTTTGCTGATGGCAGTGCAATCAAAATAAATGATGAGAAAATTGGGCACACAACAATTGCACATTGTGAAACTTCTCAAAATTCAGATGAAGTTCTCGCCGGCTTACTATTTCGTGACATCGAAGAAGGCTCTGAACAAATGGAGGAGGTTAGAGAATTGACAGTTCCTCAGATGGAGGACTCCCGTGAACAAGATTTTATACGACTTGACAAATCTATCAATGATGTTGAACAATCAGCTGTCAAATTACTTGCATTTAGGACACTCACAGCAGTTGAATTGAGAAAGGATTTGCTTAGCAAGAGATTCTCTCCAAATGCAGTGGAGGCAGTGTTAAACAAACTCCATAGACAAGGGTTCATCAATGATAAGTTGTATGCTGGATCTTTTTCTCAATACCGGATGGTCTTCATCTACTTGGGGTCCGAGACGGATCAAACAAGCCCTGTTCAAGAAGGAAGTTAGTCAATCTGATGTTTAAAAGGCAGTTGAAGTAGTTTTTAAGGGCAAGAATGATGGTACTGAAAAAGAAAATTTAATTAGTAAACTGTCAAAGCAGCCCATGGATCATCTTTATGTTCAAGCCTCAAAACAATGGTTCAAAGGTGAAAATATTCCAAAGGAAACAACAGAATTTTGCATCACAACAAACTATTATGCCACAAAACTTGCACATGAATTCATGACAAACCGTTACGCACCAGCAGTAGTATCACGCAGTAACCCGCACACCAGCTTACGAACCATGATACACCCGCAACCATCAAGCAACGTAACAACTACAAAAAAATCAGCAGCATATTAAAACAGGTACGGAAGCAGGTTGAAAATCAGATTGTACAGGACCAATATGCAAAATGGCTCACGCAGCGCAAACATGGTGAATTGAAAAGAGCAGAGTGGCAAGCTCTTCATTATTGGTGACTGCTATATAAAAGTTGCGGAAAAACTCCCTGCAGATCAAGAAGAAAGAAAATAAGTTGTGCTCACAAGTAGTCCAAGCTACTACTTTGCATAGGCCAAAATAACATTCCATGTATGCGGTGTGTCGTATGAGCCAACCTTCATCACACCACCCACCTCTTGTTACCGACCTGCACAAAATTAAGCCGCGACATTAATCATCACAGGGGATACCACAAACATAACCAGTGTAAAATCATGATATTCTGATAATAAGGGTAATTGAAAAGCCGACCTCTGCTCCTTAGTCTCGGTGGCCTCATCTTGCACGTAAGTCAAGCCGTAACCCGAAAAAAGCACGGAAATCACCTTCAGATGCAAGCCATCATGTAATTTCCCTCAACTGCAAAACACGCCTTCAGTAGACCTCTAACCGGGACCAACTTGGCGCCCGCATCAGCGTATGGTTTACCTGCACCAGCAACAACAATGATTATGGTATGAATTCGATCAACACTAATCTGATGACATTGTTGTCCAAGCCACACCTATTCAAAGAGTGTCAGCATAGCAAATTGGGATTAAAAATGCATTCAGGAATTACACGGCATAATCTCACATTTTGATTGTGGGAATTAAATAGAAAGCAGGAAACAAAAGACAGTACCTGCACCAAACAATTCCACAATGACAGAAAAGAGAAAAAAAAACAACACTATAATGCCAGGTCATGTACTCCATGTACGACCTTTTGCTGCAATAGCACTCAGACCATAACGGATTCCGAAAAAGAAAATGAAGAGGAAATTGCAAATGTACGATCAACAGCAAATTCCTTTGATACCCTTCAAAAATCATGTGGACATTGGGATAATAAAAAGGCTCTTGAAGCCAACGAAAGAAAACCTAGCCGCCACCTTCTTGAACAAGAATCTCCTTCACAGCTTGAAAAAATCCTCTCATTCTTCATCAGCCATAAACCCCAAAAGACCTTCAACACTTGATACCCTAATATTCTTCCAACTTTCTTCATCCCAAAAAGAACACACCCAACTCATAACTTCGATCCTTCTTCCAAAAAATCTGAAACGCAAACATTGATTTATCTTCAAACCACAAGCGTCTCCACCATTTCCGTCACTTCATTTACCTTCAGAATCTCCAGCCTTCATACCCTCAATAACAATAAACCGAAAACTGATTCCTTAAACCTTCAAACCCAAACTAACAAACATTCTTTTCCGAGATAGTCGCCGAACTAAGCAAACTTCCATCATACCTTCGTTTTTCTCAAACCCCATATTTCCAGACCTTGAAACCCACAAAAAAACCCACCGAATCTGCAAAACAAACCCACTTTATTTCAGATTCTCATTCAAATAATCCATAAACAGATTCATAATCCAAGTCCAGAACAAGGGAGAAAGGAGACGAAGTTGAATCAAATTAGAAGAAGTTTGAAGGTGATGACCTAAATTTATTGATTCCGTCACCGATAAAAACTTCTTGAGTCGCGATAGCCGTGATGAAGGAGCATCCTCCCGAGCTCATTGGAACTATTCGCTCAAACGAGTTGTTGGTTTTCATGGGATCCTCTTCTTCTCGTGTTTCGGATCAGTTAGTGTTGTTGGTCATGTTTTCCTTTTTTGATTTGATATTGAAGAAGGTCGTTCTTAGATCTTCCATTGGTTTTTTTGTTTTTTTTTAGTGTGGGGATTATGCTGAACCGTGACATGAGTTGAGGTCAAGGATACTCACACGGTTTGGGTTTCTTCAGAGGCCCATTTCGGTTTCAAATCGCACCACCTTTTCTTTATTCTTCACCGGGATTTGAACTTGGAGAAGGGATATGGGCCTAAGGGCCCACGTGACCCCATCTTTTATATGCCCATGTTTTTTTTCCTTTAAATCCTTTCTTTCCCTTTGACTAAAGATATTGCTTAAAAGTTTTTGTTAATTATCTTATTGTTTTATACTCATTATATCAAATAATCTCATTTGGTTAATTAATTTGTTAATAATCTCTCTTTTTTTGTTAAATTATTCACTAGACATTTTACCTTCTCATTTTGGATTTCGTTTTTTTTAGGGTCGATGACGATATCCCAAAGCGGTTTTTCTGTCAAATTATTGATGAAAAATAGCAAACCCGAGACCAACTTTTCATTTTTCGATTTTTATTGTTTTTATCGATTTTTACTCATTTTTATACCTTTTATCTCATTTTTGGTCAATGACGAATTTATAAATATTGTCGGTCAAATTATTGATAGATGATGTTTTATTCGAGACTATTTCGTTTTATATTTCATTTTCCTATTTATTTCCATTTTTATTCATTTTCTGATCGATGATGTCTTTAGATTCGTAAGCGTCGCGTATCGGAGTTGATAACCTTCTCGATTTCAAATCTATGGGGAATGACCATTGGGGTCATTTTCCGTACTTTGGGATCGTGATAGGCTACCTTTGATTAATCGGCATTATGTTTGCGATTAAGACGAGATCCCATTTCTTTGTGTCCCGATTCGATTCAATAAACTAACCATTAAATTTAATTCTCGTTAAATATTATTGTGAATATTATTGTCATATTATTATTCGTATTATCATATCTCATTATTCATATTTATTCACCCATATTCGAAAATACCTAATAAATTATCGAAACTCCTAAAAGCCAAATTGGCGGACTGTTGGATCTTTGGTCATTTGCAGGTATCCTAGCTTTGAGTCGTGCCCGACTTTACTCAAGGCGTAGTTTAGGACACAAAATCACACACACGGCTTTCTCTTGGGCTACCTGACAATGAGACCCCTTTATTTCGTGCAATCCCGTGTAACTTACATGTATCCCTTCCCCATTCCGATGTATGTTTCGCATTTCTTTGATTATTAGTTTATCTCCTAGGAGCACCCATAGGGACTAGAGCGGATCAAATTATTTTCAAACTAATTCTCGATTCATCATCGAGTCATTTTCAAACCTCGTAAGTCGAGTGCTCATACGCATTCACCATCAACCTATTCCAACTCGACCCTTGATGCGTAAGTCAAGTCGGTCTCTTTTTTCAAACAATTTCATTTTCAACACGCTTTGCACGCGATAATGAGTCAAGCCCTTGATCCAACGTCAAGCGGATTTTCGAAACAAACTATCAATCAACTAACAACTATTCAATCCTTTTCAAGGTGTAAAGAGTGGGTTCAAGTCTTTGAGCTTGCTTTCCGTTGTTTATATGCGAGTTATCTTATTCGTGTGTGAGCAATTGACACCTTTAAATAATATTAACAAACTCGATAATACTCAACCATCTCCAATTACTCATCCTTTCACTCACCTTTCAAACAACTTCTTTTACGATGAAAAAATAGTGTCCCAAGTCTTTGGTTCGCTCTCCCGACTACTTGGATCCGAGAAGCCTTTCTCAAGCTTCAAGTAGTCGTCATCCGACCAATCTCATCCTTTCCCTCACCTTTCAAACAACTTCTTTTACGATGAAAAAGAGGGTGTTCCAAGTCTTTGGTTCGCCTTCCCGATTACTTGGGGTCTGTGAAGTCTTTCTTAAGCTTCAAGTAATCATCATCAATTCAACCTTATCCTTTCAAACACATCATTCCTTCATGATGAAAAAGAGAGTGTCCCAAGTCTTTGGTTCGCTCTCCCGATTACTTGGGTCCGATAAGTCTTTCTTAAACTTCGAGTAATCGTCATCCGTACTCACTTCAAATCCAATTCAAATCCTATTCCTTTTCGTGGTCGTTACCACGAACTACGAACGCTCTGATTCTTCATTCACTCTTGAATGTAAGATACGTAGGCACAAGATTGTGATGATCTTGGCGAGCACAATCCCCTCCATCTTCCATTTTCCCCTATCCTTTCCCGTAGTCGAACTACGACGCTCTGATTTCTCATTCTCGTCCGAATTTGCATATGTAGGCACAAGGGCCCCAATCCTTGGCGAGCACCCTATCCTCTAACCATCCCTTTTCCCCTAGTGTCTTTATCCCCTTATAGTATCCTTTAGCATTTAGTAGTGAGAAGAGAAGAAAACAAGTAAACCTAAAACAACACTCCCCACAATTACCTTAAGAGGTTCCCGTCGAGTACGACGGACGTGAGGGGTGCTAACACCTTCCCCTCACGTAACCGACTCCCGAACCCGGAACATGGTTGCGAAAGCCCTGTTCTTGTCCTTTCGTTTTTAAGAGGTTTTCTCGATATTTTCCTCTCCCGTTTATTCGGGAAAAATAAAGTTCGGTGGCGACTCTGTCGAACCGCATTTCCGCGCCTTTCGCGCGAGGGTCGTTTCTCCGAAATGTCTCCGTGATTTTTCGAGGTGCGACAGTAGAGAGTAGTGGTTAGCCTGCTTGCTTAGCTCGCACTAGCTAGCCGCGAAATCTGCGCTCGGACGAGATTCTCTTTGATGCTTCTTGCCTGGCCCTTAGGGCTCGACAAGTTGTCTGACCCGAGGATTGTCGACTCTGGGGACCTATCATTTGGGATTCAACTAAGTGAGGCCGCTTCAAGGGATGATGATGCCACACCTTCTGGGTAT